GAGAGAGAGAGAGAGAGAGAGAGAGAGAGAGAGAGAGAGAGAGAGAGAAAGGGAGAGAGAGAAAGGGAGAGAGAGGGAGGGAGGGAGCACTCGAGGGGCCAGCTCTCCTTCCAGGCTTGGAAGCTGCTCCCTGAGGAAGGCAGGGGCAGAACCTTTGTGTATCTGTGTGTCCACCCTGCTCCTCAGCATGTCTGCCCCCGCTGAGATGCACTCCAGACACAAGCAGCCACAGGCTGGCTTGCTTCAAGGTCGGCTTGACCTCCTTCTGGTCCAATTCACCGCCCGGCAGCCTTGGCTCCCTCAGGTCCTCAGCACCGGGATTGCTGACTCTCCCTGCCGTCCTTGGCTTCTCCTGACACCAAATGTGGTGCTGGGCCCTGAGTGGCAGCTTGGAATTGCCATGCAGGGCAAAATCAGGTTTGATCTCTCTCTGGAGCCCACCCACCGGTGGAAGACAGACACTGGCCAGATCGGCAGAGTGGCGAGACTAAGGTCGTAGTCCTCATCGGCGTTGGCTCAGGGACAGCGCTGGCGGAAGCAGCAAATCCCTGGGGAAGCTGATCTGGGTGCCCTGGGCAGGTCCCTGCAGCAGGCATCGCCAGCCTGTGTAAGATGCCACAGCACAAGGCCCAGGGGTCTGTGAGGATGTCCTTCAAGGTCAAAACACCACTCGTTGGCGGCTCCGCCCCCCGCCCCCCATCCTGTGTCTGGGTCCTCCTGAGGTGCTTCTGCCCACCACTGAGTCACCGTCCCCACCTGGCAAAGGCGCGCTGGGCCTGACTGCTCTCTGAGGCGCCTCGCTCCCTGCTGGCCCCTCTCTTTGCTCTTAAACAACAAGGGGTTTCACAAGGGCCCCAGAGCAGGACATTTCTCCTCAGCCACCCAGGAGTGGGGCTGTGTGATCTGTTTCTTGTGCATGCTCAAAAGACATCATCACCCTGGATGGAAACCAGCTGGACTGGCTCTTGTTTATTTTTCTCCTGCCCTTTGACAGCCATGCTGCCCTGAGTACCCCGAACTCTAGGCCGCAGAGGGCTTCAGGGTGCTTTCTGTAATTGGCAGGCATGGAATGCAGCACATAGGTCCTGTGTGGGCATGGGGAGCAGACAGTGTTGGAGGGCACCTCAGGCTGGCTACTGCAGAAGATGTGACACCTGGTGGCAGTTGCATTGGTGGCCACAGCACTGGATATGGGAGAACAGAGAAGTGACAGGGCCCAGAGAAAGGGTGACACTGTCCCACAGTAGCGGGTGGGAGGCCACCTGACGTAGCGGCCCTAGAGAGGGGATGTGCCCGCACAAGGCATCCTCCTAAGTTTGAGGCTAGGTGGGGCAGAAAGAGATGGCTGTCGTTCCCAGCTCAGGCGACTGAGTGGATGCCAGGGCAGCCGGGCATAAATAAACAGCCTGCCGTGCACTGTCCGGGGAGCAGAGGCGGGGTGCCTCTGCCAAGCTGCAGAGGCACCAGCCTGCTCTGTGGCGAGCACAGGTCAGGGAGTCCACAGCTGGCCCTGAGGTCTGATGCCAAGAGCTCTTGTGGACGGGGTGAGTCGCTGGGCCACAGTGCTGTGGGTGCCTAGCTCCAGCTGATGGCAGCAGGCGTGGTGCCGTCCCCTCACGGGCTGCAGCCCGGTGGCATCAGGCCCCGGGGTCTAACCCCCACACAGGACCAGGCAGCTAGCTCCACACAAACATGGCTTTTCTGCCCGCTGCTGAGGAAATGGAAGAGGCCTCATCCAGGCATGTTCCCCTGACCTAGGTACAGTCTGCCAGACTCCCACTGGCCCTCCCACAGCCCTTCTGGAAGCCCTGGGCACCAGTTCAGCTCAGCTCTTCTTCAGTGTTGTCCTCCTGGCTCCGACAGGACACTTCCACGTCTCTGAGTGGAAATAAACCATCTTTCCACTGTCTCGGGCGGGCATGAGGAGGGCCCAGGAGAGCAGAGCCACGCCGCATGGGGCAGGTGTAGACCCACAGCCAAGACGTGGAAGAGGACAGCCATGGCTGCCCCGCACCCTAGCGTCCCTTGGGGTTCCAGGATCTGTCCTGAGGATCTGCCAGCACCTAGGGCTCAGATCTCTGACACTTGCATCACCTTGGACCTGAGTTCAGCTGTGTTTATCTTTTTTTTTTTTTTTTTTTTTTTTTTTTTTTTTTTTTTTTTTTTTGGTTTTTTCGAGACAGGGTTTCTCTGTGTAGCTTTGCGCCTTTCCTGGAGCTCACTTGGTAGCCCAGGCTGGCCTCGAACTCACAAAGATCCGCCTGCCTCTGCCTCCCGAGTGCTGGGATTAAAGGCGTGCGCCACCACGCCCGGCCAGCTGTGTTTATCTTAAAAGTGCCTTATCCACCCGACCCTGTTATGCGGCCTCATGGGCTTTAACTCTCTCTAGCCCCCCTCCCCCACACCCCCACCTACTGTCTCTGTAAACACTCCTCTCCTCTGTGCCTATAATTAGCCCCAAATAGAATAATTCATAACAAACTTTATTTCTTGTGGCATCTTTCTCGCTAATGTGTCACTGAGCTCCTCACAGCATCAGCAGGAGGGAAGCCAGTCTCGGGGAATGGCTGAGAACCTTGCCCACCCCCGGCAGACACCCATCCTGGGACACCTACCTTTTCTAGAACGTTACAGAAACGGGCACACGTAGCATGTCGTTTTGGGGTCTGGCTTCTTCCACAGTGCCCTGCTTCTGCCGTCCCCTGGGCTGTTCTCTAAACACACAGCGAACACCCTTCTGTCTCTGGGCAGCAATTGTGATGCGGGTGAATCGCAGAGCATCTGATCATTCTTCTACAAGCAACCTCTGCCCACCCTAGACCTTTGATTCTCCGGGAGTGGGGCTGCTGGGGCCCACAGCAGACACGCTGCATTAGGAAGTGACCCTGTCTTTGCCATGTGCTCTGTTGCTATTTATCGTGACATCTCGGACTCTTCTCTCAACAGCGGTGACTCTTCTATGCCCATTTTGCCGATGACAAACTGTGCTGGTCCACACAGCGAGATGTCGGTGAGCCAGACAGAACGGCCCGAGTCTGTGTCCCAAGACCTCTGCTCTCGCCACCAGAGTGAGGGGCTCTATGCTGAGTGGGGCTGCAACCCGGACGCTAGAGGCCCCAGTCCCAGTTCCCCTAGAGCCAGATGTACACCTCAGACTCTGCCATGTCTGTCTGCACTGGCATCCGCAACCACCTTTGTCACTAAGAACCTCTATGGGCGCAAGGAAGTCGATTAGAGCCAACACTGGGCACCTGCTATGATAGTTTACCATTACTACAAGCTCTGAACCCCAACATTACAGATTTAGCTAAGGAGTCAGAAAACTGCTTCTGGTGTTCCCACGGCCTGACAAAGTATGACCACGTCCTGACACCTCCACTCAGCCAAGCCACGCCCCCATTTCTGGAGAAGGAAGGGGTGGGGCTTCTTAGCCAGTGAGGAAACACATGCCCAGGCATGAGGGGCATAGTTCTGCTCTGGATGGCTGAAGGGCAGTAGCCCTCTCTGGCACCCTTGAGAAAAGTGGTCAGGGGGCCATGGGGACAGGTCTCCCCTTTGGTACCACTTGTCCCACACAGAAGGGCTTTCTTGGAAGCTGGCTTAGACTCAGTCAGTCCTCTTGGCTGAGATTCAGGGAACAGACACGCGGAGAGGTGAGGTGGAAAAATCTCCTTTGCCCTTGCAGCTGGCTTCCTCTAGGAAATGTTCCTGGGACTCCAGGGACAGAGACTCCTCAAAGCACCGACCGCCAGCCAAGCACAAAGCCAGCAACCCCTAGACAGGTCCTCGGGGAGGTGGCGGGGGGAGAGAAGGAGGTGGGTCACCCCCCTTTGGAACCCAGGAGCTCAGAAGGGAAATTGAGTGTGAGTTCGTTAGGGAGCCTGGTGGGAATGAATAATGGCTCTCGGCTCTTGTACCCTGCGCCCCAATTCACCACCTAGCTCTTGTCTCTACACCCCCCCCAACCTCCCTCCAATGCCTCTGACACTCAGCTCCTCCTTTCCCGTAGACCCACAGGCTCCTCCCCACACTCCAGTGACACCATGGTACAGTTCTGTAGAAGGAAGCAGCAGCAGCTCAGTTCCGCAGCAGGAAACGGAAACAGAGCCCAGGGTGCTGCCGGACTCAGCCTCACCTCCCAGCAGCAGGAAACAGAGCCCGGGGTGCTGCCGGACTCAGCCTCACCCCCCAGCTCCGTTCTCTTGGCTTCCCCACTGAGCCTTCTCCAACTGCCTCCACCCTTAGACTGGGTCACCTCCTCCACGCGCCTCCTCGGCCTTCTTGTCACACTCAGACTGACCCTGCCAGGCAGCTTCAGGGGCAAGAACTCTATTCCCAGGCCAGAGCAAGGCCAGGCTGTGTGATCTGGGCACAGCAGAGCCCTCCACTCCCTGGCCAGAGTGGGGTGCAGTGGTGCTATCATCTCACCCCACTGAGCCGGTGAGACTGTGTGGCCATCCAGTGCCCCAGCCCTGGGACACATGTCTGCTCTCCTCGTTGCCTGCAGACCTTGTTGCCTCAAGCTCTTGGTGCCTCCTGCTCTAATGCCCCCGTGTCTGAGCAACCCAGCATTACCTCCATCTCTCTAGAGAGGCGCTAGGTGATTTGGAGGATGTAGCAAGGGTAGGGCACAACAAAGGAGCGGTCAAACAAAGTGCTGTGGGAGCCCAGGAGGTGGCGGTGCCTCGGAGCAGAGAGGATGTCAGAGAGACTGTAGCAAAACTGACCTTGTGCGGAGAGCACAGAGACATCAGCAGGTGGGATGGCCAGACGCAAGTCAGACAGGGGCAGAGAAGGGACTTCAGGCGCAGGTACTGGGGGCCTTTAGCTGCATCCCTGGCCTCTCTCTCTCTTTCCCCCACAAATAGTGGCTCCATTTTCTTTGAGGAGTCTGCCACTGTTCCATAATTAGCCAACTGGTTTGGATGAAACCTTGCCTTAAGAGTTCCAGGGTGCATCCTGGTTGCCTCCAATCAACTGTGTCTCTTATCTTGGGAACGGCAGTTGGCTTGCATGGGCATGGGAAACAGTGAATGAAGTCCTAGGAGTGGGAAAAGAACTGAGGGCCGGGGCTGCTGCAGCCACCCTGTCGCCAGACGGCATGGAGAGCCTGGGGCTGAGAGAACAGTCCAGAGTGACTGAGTGTGTGGATCAGGCTTGCACGAGTCAGCTCTACCTGTGGGCTTTTCAGTTACAAGAATCAATAATACCCACTTACAGCCGGGCGGTCACCTTTAATCCCAGCACTCAGGGGCAGAGGCAGGCGGATCTCTGTGAGTTCCAGGCCAGCCTGGGCTACAGAGAGAGTTCCAGGAAAGGCGCAAAGCTACACAGAGAAAGCTTGTCTCAAAAAAAAAAAAAAAAAAAAAAAAAATCCCACATCTCACATCAGCATGAGCCTCACCAATCCCTGTCTCCTGCCTCACTAGCCCCCTGACAGAGTCTGTTAGGAAACATGGTAACAGTTCTAGTCCATTTTTTGATTACTGTAACAGAATACCCGAGGCAGGCTAGCCTTATAAAGAAAAGAGGTTTACTTCATTCAGAGTTTTGTTTTTACATTACTGAGATTGAACGGGGCCTTGCACTTGCTAGGGAAGAACTGAGCTGTACCTCTCCACCCCTTAGCCCACAATTGTGGAGTTGAAAAGCCTCCCTAGTTCAACCTCTGGTGAGGAGCCTATGGAAGTTGCCATCTCAGCAGTCGACGTGTGCCTGGGAACAAGAGGTCAGGTCACCAGATGGAGCCAGAGCACTGGGGAGGGCCAGGCATGCTCTTCTTATAACCACCCTGTGTGGGAACGAAGGGACCATGACTACTACTTTAATCTCATCTGAGAGCAGAGCCTACAATATACCAAGACCCCCCCCCCCCAGGTCCACCTCTTAAAGGCCCCACCACCCCCTTCACCTGTGCACCAAGAACCAAGCCTCCAGCATGTGACCCACTGGGGGACACTTGAGCCATACCCAACCACAGCAGCCACTTTGCCTGGGACAAGATCTGAGAACTTCAGTGGACGCCTACAGGATGAGTCTCCACCCACAAAGGGAGCTCCACACTGGACGGCCCTTTTCAGTAACTTTCTCATAAACAGTCTGGTACACAGCGGGAGCCCCATGCATCTTTGAAAGTGGGTAAGTGAATTCTCCAGAGAGCTCTTAGGGGTGGTGGTGGGGACCCCACAGGATCTAGCAGAGGTCATGGCTGGCAGAGCACAGCTCTAATTAAACTGGCTTTAAGTATGTGAGGTACGGGGAGCTGTCCACGTACTGAACCGCTGTCCAGGGCTAGACTACTGTCCATGGTACTAACGCACCAGTCACGGCTAACCTCACAGCCAACTGGCTCTGTGGCTGTTTGGAAAGAACTAAAAACATCTTAGGAACCTGCGCGGGGGGAGTAGATGCCATAGCTTTCCTGTCCCTGTTCATCTCTCTCCCAGAAGGCCTTCTGCACGAGGCAGATAGCCTGGCAGAGGTCCAATCAGCCAGTTCCCTCTTCACGACCGTGTCTCCATCCTGGTGCCTAAGCTTTCCAGGGCTGCAGGTCCCAGAAGGGCTCAAACGTCAACTCAGTGCTGGGGACCCTGGAGAAGCAAGCCAGGCAGAGACAGGCGCTGGGAAGGTAGCCGGAAAGATAGGCTGCATGCCAACAGCCGTCTCCAGGGGGCCGGGCAGGTGACTCTAGTCTTCATGATCTCATGGTGCCTGAGCTGGACAACAGTGTCCAGAGGGAGGGTGGCTTCCCTGTGATGGTAAGGGCCCGTGGCTGGCACTGTTAAGACTGCAGATATGAATGTGGGGTAGAAAAGTCCATGGGTCAGACCTCAACATGGGTGCTGGAGCATCGGCGGTGGTGGTGGGGTGGGGGAGGGCGGATTAAACTTGGGTGCTGGAGTAGCGGTGAGGGTAAAGGGGCGGGGTGGAGAGGTGTCGGAGAGCAGAAGTGAGCTGTGGGAGAGAAAGGAGCTGTGCATGCTTGCAGACCTGCATGCAGACGGGGCTAGCCCGCGGTCATGGCTGCCCAGGCATTTGGCCGTGGTGGGGACTTCCTCTATGGTATCATCTTCTTGGGGCAGAGGGCCCCTCACGCTCTAATTTTGCCCAGGAACCATTCTGGTTCTGCAATCCATGAACTTATCTAAACCCTTCTGGAAGCAATTTATATTTCCAGCCCGTATCACCTCTAGGGGAAATGATTTTCAAAGTTTGTTCCCCGCCGAGTACAGCAGGATTTCCTGTTATTGGTTTTAAACCTGCCTTCTCCCGAGCGTGGCTGGGGGCCGGGGAGGGGGGGGGGCTGCCTCTGAGGCGTAATTTAGCCGAGGCCCCTTCTGGCTGGTTTTCTAGACTTCTTTCATGTGTCCTCACAGACTCTTCTTCCTGAACTTGTCCCAGGTGGGCCAGGATGACTTTACAGGACCGGTCCCCTTTCGACATAGCTCTCTCTCTCTCTCTCTCTCTACAGCCACTCAGCTTTCGGCAACTTCACCTATTACCAGCATAGCGTCATCTCTGGAGATTCAGTGCCACCAATCCACAGATTTGCAAACTGGGTTACAACAGCACACAGATCTGTGACTGAACACCGTTTCCCCACAACTCTGACTGGCATGCCTCTAAGAAACCATAACCACAGTGGGCCACACTGCAGGGTGTGGTCACCCTCAGCCCTGCGATGGGGAAAGGGGCATGGATGATGATTCCTCCAGATCCCTTCCCATCCTCTCCAGCTCACTGCTGTCCTTGTGGGTCCCAAACTCCCTCCACCTAGACAGTGTCCATCCCATGACCCCATCAGGGCCACCTTCTGCCCTGCCCAGAGCCTTTCAAGTTAAGATGTCCCCTAATGCCATCCTTCATCAGCGTGGCCTTTTACCACCACTCAAAAGAGTTGAGATTTAACTGCAAAATCCATAATTTTACCATACATAAACTCCTCCAGGTCTTTTATTTAAATGTTGAGAGAGAGAGAGAGAGAGAGAGAGAGAGAGAGAGAGAGAGAGAGAGAGAAGCTTTGATTCTGCCCAAAAGCACGTCTCCCACTTCTCCAAGCAGGCTGTTCGGCCTCCACATCTTGTTTCTTTTCTTTCTTGTCAGCTATTTCTTGATGAGAAAACAGTTGCTTCGAATTCCAGATGAATCCATTTCTAAGACCCTTTTTATACAGGGTGCCTCTACGCTCCTGCTCAGGTGTACATGTAGTTCCAATCATCTCTACACCTCCCTCCTCCCCACCCAGCCGCACACCTGCACATCGGCAGGAGCTCAGAGATGTCCTCTGCAGAGCTCCGTGATCTCACGTGTTTGTCACGAGGGAAGGGGACAGAGCCAGGCAGGAAATGCCACCACGGGAGAGAAGCGCACGAGAGGCCGAGGAGCATCTGCAGTTCCTGGGAAAGGAGTAGGGGCCCTCCTGAAATCTGGACCTCGGTGGCTGGAGGATCCTGGATGAGGGCTGCTCCTGGCCACCGTAGGAGCCCAGTGGCCCCCACCCAAGAGCATTTGCAGGACACTGGCATACTGTACTGGCCAGTGGCCACTGCTGACAGGGGAGAGACAGCACTGGCTGTGAAGGACGGGCTTCTGGAGCCAGCAGCAAGGTCACCTTCACCCATGGGCGCATCCATCCCCGGTGCCCAGGGCCAATGTCCACTTCTAGGTGTACAAGCCAGCGAGGCCCTATCCTCAGGCTCAAGTGGTGTGTGAGAACACCTGTCCTCCCAAGGAAGCCAGGCCAAGCTCTGTCTGTCCTTGGCAATGCCCCATAGCATGAGGGGCTTGCCCACATTACCTGGGGCTTCTGAGCACTTCCATGAGACGCAGTGGCCCTTGGAAGTCCCAAAGAGTTGGTGACTCCCGGCCATGTCATGCAACGGCCAGAGAGGCCCACACACCGCTGTCCCCTCGCACCCCGATCTGCCTTTTGCCTGCTGCACTGGTTAGCGTCTCTCCTCACCGCTGGTGCAGGGTAGGCCCAGCCTGACGGCAGCTCTGGCCTGGAACACTGAGGCTGCTCCCCAGGGAGCCCTGATAACAAGCACTCAGCTCCACAGAGACCTGGGAGGGAGACAGACACTGGCAAATTGAATTGCAATCAGAGACTCCATCTCCCAGCACTTTGGGACAGCTTCTCTCAGAGGCTGGGGTGGGATGGCTCACAGGGACACAGGTAGAGGAGGGCAGGGATGAAGGAGGGATCAGCAGGGACAGGACTGAAGGGGGAAGTATTTACCCAGTCCACCAAGTCTGTCCCTAGCAAACTCTCTGTGCCATCGCTGTGGTTCTGACACCAGGTTCTCTGACTCCCCTCTTCCTCCTCTCTTGGCATTTTTCTCCCCCTTAGGGTCCACAGGGGAGAAGACTCAACAGAAAGATCTTTAAATGAATGGCCCCTCCCTGGCCCTGGGGAATATATTAGGGCTGAAGTGATGGCCGAAACGGGACAGTAATCCAGGGAAGACAGGGAGACGAATCGGGCAGGCTGGACCACTAATGCCATCCATGCATCACAGCAGGGCCTGGGAGCAGAGAGCCACTTCTCAGCCACAGACAGGACCAGGACAGAAGAGATGGGAGGGGGCCCTGTCCAGCTCCTTTGCTCTCCTCTGCATGCCTGATGCCTTGGAATTATTTCATTTCTTCACCTGCTCACTGGTGTGCGGCCTGTTTCCGCCCTTGAGCATCAGCTCCATGAGGGCACACACGCAGCATCACGGGACGTCCCAGAGCCCAGAGCAGACAAGAGCATTTGGCGACCACTTGTTGAAAACGTGAGGTGATGTATGAAAGAACGATGGGCAGGCGAGTAAAGTGATGAGCGAAATCATCCAGGGCAAACCCACAGCCTGTACCCCAACCTGTCCTGGAGAGGAAGCCAGCCTGCACCCCAGATTGTCCTGGAGGGGAAGCCAGCCTGCATCCCAGATTGTCCTGGAGGGGAAGCCAGCCTGCACCCCAGATTGTCCTGGAGGGGAAGCCAGCCTGCACCCCAGATTGTCCTGGAGGGGAAGCCAGCCTGCACCCCAGATTGCCTGGAGAAGAGGCCAGCTTGGAGGATGCCTCGAGACCCCCCCCCCCCCCCCGTCCCACACACCAGCCTGAACTTTCTCTCCAGTAGTCCCCCTTTACTCCAGTGTCGTCCCCTGGCCTTAGTCAGGACCTCTGTTCTGGATGCCAGACCGACCACTGCACCTGCCGGGGACTTAAAAAGGTGAGTCTTCAGAGAGGTCAGCCGGACCCAGGCCCTTGGTGTCCCCTCCCCGGGGTGAGCAAACGGTGCTGTCCACTCTGTTGATGCCTTTTCTGCCTGTCTTCCATCAGCCGTTCACTGGGATCTTTCCAAAGAACAAATCTGATTACAATGTGTTTTCCTGATTTCAAGTCTTCAACAGCTCCCATCCTCTCTGGAAAGGACCACACTCCTTGATATGGAGGTAATGGACAGGTGCAATGTGGGCCCTACAGATCTTCACAGCCTCAGAGTACCATGACAGAAGAATGGACGGCCACTGCACTCATTCGACAGGTGAGGAAAACTGAGCTATAATTAAGTAGTTAAGTGGAAAGCTCCAGGTTAAACAGTAATAATAAAAATTGTGATTAGAGCTAAGCAGTGGTGGCACACGCCTTTAATCCCAGTACTCAGGAGGCAGAGGCAGGTAGATCTCTGTGAGTTCGAGGCCAGCCTGGGCTACAGAGTGAGTTCCAAGACAGCCAGGGCTACACAGAGAAACCCTGTCTTGAAAAACAAACAAAAAAATTGTGATTAGAGCAAAAAATGGAGCCAAGTATGCCCACACAGCTTCTCAGGAGACTGAGGCAGGAGGATCACTTGAGCCCCAGAGTTCAAGGCCATCCTACCAACATAGCAAGACATCGTCCTAAAAATTAAAAACAAAATCAAAATGGACAGGCATAGATTCTCTTCATGACACTGTCCTGAGCAAGTCACAAAAGTAACCTAGTTCATCTTCACCAGCTTGTAGACACCAGGCTGTTAGCCCGACCTTTGAACTCTCTGTACCTCAGTCTCCACATCTGAAAGATGGGGCTCACACTCACAGCCCTCTTCAAAGCTCCACTGCGAGGCTTCAGAGAAGAAATGTGTGACCATGCTCAGGGCAAAAGAGTCTCAGCTGGGTCATAACACAGCGGCAGTGGCCTCTGGGGAAGACGGTGTGTCCAGTGAGGGACTGAAGACCTCAGCCAGGAAGCAGTTGCCATTGCCCAGGATCTGGGGGGCACAAGTGGGGAGGGGAAGCAGGGTGGGCTAAAAGGATTTCCAGGAAGGACCGGTTCTGGGCAGTACAGAAGGAATCCAATAGGGAACCAGGACACCAGCCAGGTGTGGTGGAGGGGTGTGCATGTCCCAGAACCAGGAAACCAGCCAGGTGTGGTGGAGGGGTGTGCATGTCCCAGAGCCAGGACACCAGGCAGGTGTGGTAGAGAGGTGTGCATGTCACAGAGCCAGGACACC